CACACTCTCACTCTCACTCACACACACACACACACACACACATCATCATCATTGTCCTACAGCTTTAACAGGTTCATGATAGTTATAGATCAGTGCTTCATCACTGTATATATAAATATACAGTATACAGTGTAAATAAAACAATTATAAAATATATATGTATAATGTTTATTATTTTTTATTACTACTTTATGATTATTTGAATAGGCACTTGAAAAAAAAAACTCAACTGAATGAACTGAAGTGAAATAATTCTCTTCTTCTTCCTACTACTCTTTAATATGCAGGTATATTTATTCATTTATTTATTTAAATAGATTTCTTAACATTTTTACTTTATTTATTTAATTTATATTTATTACTTATTTTATTATTACTTTATGATTATTCAATTTTACTCTATAGTTTTTATTTATTAATTTTAGTTAAATAATTTATTTATATTGAGCATTTATTTAGCATTACTTTATGATTATTTAATTCAACTTCTTAAAGTTTTTTACTTAATATATGTATTTATATTTTAATTGTGCATATTTATTATTTATTTGATTAATACTTTATGATTATTTAATTGGACTTTTAAAAGTTTTTAAATGAATGAATTAATCATATTTATTATTTATTTAGTATTACTTTATGATTATTTAATTGGACTTTTAAAAGTTTTTTAAATAATTAATTAATCATATTTATTATTTATTTAGTATTACTTTATGATTATTTAATTGGACTTTTAAAAGTTTTTTAAATAATTAATTAATCATATTTATTATTTATTTAGTATTACTTTATGATTATTTAATTGGACTTTTAAAAGTTTTTTAAATAATTAATTAATCATATTTATTATTTATTTAGTATTACTTTATGATTATTTAATTGGACTTTTAAAAGTTTTTTAAATAATTAATTAATCATATTTATTATTTATTTAGTATTACTTTATGATTATTTAATTGGACTGTTTACAGTTTTTATTTATTTAATATTTTGCAATATATTTTGCTTATTGACGTGGATTTTCCATGTATCATATTTAATCTCGTGTTCGTCTGTCGTCTCAGTATTCAGGTGTGCTAATATTTAAAAGTGGCTGTTGTGATGGAAGTAATGCAGTTTTATTTCAGTCGTAAAGTGAAACATTGACGGATTGAATCAATCATCTCCAGATAACAGACTGTGATTCTGCTGATGGTTTAGTGTTCGTCAGTGTTTGCCTTGCCTTATAAGGTGTCATGTGCTGCTCAGTCGTGCCCTCAGTAGGGAGCAGACAAATCCCACATCCAGCCTACTGCGTACTACACACTAGATACTGCGTGTTTGTAACAGTACATAAAGCAGTATGCAGGAAACACTGATAAAACACACAGACACACAGCTGGACTTCAGCCTTCATCTGGATGCTGTGGATCTGAGCTGATCTCCAGTTGATCTTAATAACAGACCCACAACAGACGCTTTGTGCTCCACGGCGGTTGTGTTCTTGCGTCAGCGCTCCGGTAGTGTGTTTACAGTCTTGTGAGGTCCTGCTGTTTGTCCTGATGGAAACATCTGCTCAACAGACCAGCGTCCCACCTGAGCTTCATCTGCTGCTGGATGCTCCACATGTTTGTCCTGCTGTCCATCGTTCATGTCCTCTTGACCTCAGAGCAACTAAAACTTAAAGTAAAACCATTAAAAAATAAATAAATAATGGCCTGAAATAAATAAAAAAATAAAAAGCTTTATATTTTATTTTAAATATTTTGATTATTTGCATTTATTCATTTATGCATTCATTCTTATTTTGATGAATTTATATTTATTATATTATGACTTTATTTGTTTGGACTCCCAAAAGATTTTAATGAAAATTCTAAAAATTCTAAAAAAATTAAAAAAGTAAACAAATACATTTAAAAAAAATATATATAGATCATTCATTCTTATTTTGAAGAATTTATATTTATTATTTATTATATTATGACTTTATTTGTTTGGACTCCCAAAAGTATAAAATAAAAAAAATGATCAAATAAAATACTTTTTTTTTTTTTAATAAATAAATAGTTATATCTGTGCTGATAACATATTCTTTAGAGATCCAGTTTGCAGTCTGCTGCCGTGTCTCTGCTGTGTATGTCTTCACCCTAATGACACCCATTAGCCTGAGCTCCAAAAATACCTGCCAGATTCCAGATGGATCACGACGCCAGAGCAGAGTGTGAGAGTGTGTGTGTGTGTGTGTGTGTGTGTGTGTGTGTGAGAGTGTGTGTGTGTGTGTGTGTGTGTGAGAGTGTGTGTGTGTGTGTGTGTGTGTGAGAGTGTGTGTGTGTGTGTGTGTGTGTGAGAGTGTGTGTGTGTGTGTGTGTGTGTGAGAGTGTGTGTGTGTGTGTGTGTGTGTGAGAGTGTGTGTGTGTGTGTGTGTGTGTGAGAGTGTGTGTGTGTGTGTGTGTGTGTGAGAGTGTGTGTGTGTGTGTGTGTGTGTGAGAGTGTGTGTGTGTGTGTGTGTGTGTGAGAGTGTGTGTGTGTGTGTGTGTGTGTGTGCGCGCGCGCGCGCGCGTGTGTGTGTGTGCGCGTGTGTGTGTGTGAGTGTGTGAGTGTGTGTGTGTGTGTGTGAATGTGTGTATCACTAGAGCTGCATTTATTTGATCAAAAATACAGTAAAAATAGTGAAATATAAAGTTCAAAAGAACAGCATTTATTTGAAATAGAACATTATAAATCTGTAACATTATAAATGTCTTTACTGTCACTTTTGCTCAGTGTAATGCGTCCTTGATGAATAAAAGTATCAGAACACGTTTGAACAGTAGCGTATGTTCCTTTAAATAAAATGACTGACCACAGATGTTTTTTTTAAATTGCGTGAAAGGCCTTATTTCATATTAATGAATATATCATGAAGAGTAAGAGGAATGTTGCCTTGGCAGCTAGTTGTTGTTTTTTTCTTCAGTTAAATGTATTGAATGAGTGTTAGTGAACTGTTCCGGCTGTGTTGTGTGTTTCAGGCGGAGTTCTCGGAGATCAATCTGGTGTCGGATGTGAACTCCGGCTGTACGGTGGACATGCAGGTGAACCGCGGAGGAACTAAAGTGGTCAGGTGTGTTCTCTCACTCTCACCGAGACACTTTTTACACTTTTAACTAGTATTTATTTTTATCATTTCAGGGTTTTATTTTAGTTAAAGTTTTAGTGTTTTTGTTCATTTTTGTTTTTACTTTTTTTTTTAAATATGTCCGTATAGTTTTTATTAGTATTTTGAATTATTTTTACATACTGGTAAAAAATATATAGCCTGAATGCACTGTAAGTCGCTTTGGATAAAAGTGTCTGCTAAATGCATAAATTACATTAAATTAAATTAAATTAAATTAAATTAAATTATTTATTTCAGGGATTTTTTTATTTATTTTAGTTAACATTTTAGCTTTTTTTGTTCATTTTTTTATGTCTGTATAGTTTTTATTAATATTTTGAATAATTTTTATTTTTATAATTTCAGGTTTTTATTTTAGTTAAAGTTTTAGTGTTTTTGTCCATTTTTTTATAAAAAAAATAAAATAAATGTCCGTATAGTTTTTATTAATATTTTGAATTGTTTTTATTTTTATAATTTCAGATTTGTTTTATTTTAGCTAACATTTTAGCGTTTTTGTTGATTTTTAAAAATATGCCTATAGTTTTTATACATTTTTTAAATTATTTATATTTTTATCATTTTAGTTTTTTTTTATTTTAGTTAACATTTTAGTGTTTTTGTTCATTAAAAAAAATATGTCTATATAGTTTTTATTAATATTTTGAATAATTTTTATTTTTATAGTTTCGGTTTTATTATTTTAGTTAAAGTTTTAGTGTTTTGTTCATTTAAAAATTTTTTAAAATATGTCTATATTGTTTTTTTAATATTTGTAATAATTTTTTATTTCTATATTTTCATGTTGCATGTTTAATTTAAAGTTGTTATTTTTTTAAATGCCTATATACTTTTTATTATTATTTTGAATTTGTTTTTGATGTGTGTGTGTTTTTTTTTAATATGTCTATATAGTTTCTATTATCATATTAAGTTAAACTAAATGAAAATGAGAAATGTTGACTTGGCAAATAGCTGAAATAAAATACGATTTTTAGTGCATGCATGAAGTCAGTGTGTAGAAAATCACATTAACTAGCAACTCTCGGCTTCACATGCCCATCATCTGCCAAACACACGGAGATTATTTACACCTGCCTCACTTAAGCAGACATCTCATACTAGTTAAGCCACTATTAATAGTGTGTGTGTGTGTGTGTGTGTGTGTGTGTGCGGATGAGCTGAACCGGCCCTTTTAGAAACACACAATCACACACACTTACAGTCTCTTCTGCCCACACAGGCTGCGTTTATCTGATCAAAAATGTGAAATATTATTCTAATGTAAATTAGCTGTTTTCTATGTGAATATCTGTTAAACTGTAATGTATTTCTGTGATGCGCAGCTGTATTTTCAGCATCATTACTCCAGTCTTCAGTGTCACATGATCTTCAGAAATTAATCTTTTGTAACATTATTATAAATGTCTTCACTGTCACTTTTCATCAATTTAATGCATCCTTGATCAATAAAAGTATTAATTATTTTTAAAAAATCATACTTTTAAACCATAACGTACATAGAATTCTGTACTTTTGTCTTATCGTCCAGCTAAAATGTCTAAAAATCCTTTTTAGGCTGAGATACAACTATTTGAAAATCTGGAATCTGAGGGAGCAAAAAAATCTAAATATTGAGAAAATCATCTTTAAAGTTGTTCAAATGAAGTTCTTAGCAATGCATATTACTAATCAAAAATTAAGTTTTGATATATTTACGGTAGGAAATTTACAAAATATCTTCATGGAACATGATCTTTACTTAATATCCTAATGATTTTTGGCATAAAAGAAAAATCTATAATTTTGACCCATACAATGTATTGTTGGCTATTGCTACAAATATCCCCCAGCGACTTAACACTGCTTTTGTGCTGCAGGGTCACAGATGATGTCTTTGATATCAGTGTTTTGTCTTGCAGATTATTCACTGAGCTTGTGCATCGTGCTTGAAAGATGATATTTTTGGTGTTGTTGGTAACGAACGCATGCTAAATGAAGACAGAAGCGCGTGATGCTCTGCTCCGTAATGAAGCGTCTTCACTCGTGTGTGTCTCTGCAGATCGTTCAGGCCAGATTTCGTGCTGGTTCGTCAGCACGCCTACAGCATGACCCCGGGAGAGGACTTCAGGAACCTGGTGATCGGCTTGAACTACGGCTCCGTTCCCAGCGTTAACTCGCTCTTCTCCATCTACAGCTTCTGCAGCAAACCCTGGGTGGTGCGTCGAACGAGTCTGAACCCCTCACTAGTGATGCTCGTCACAGCAAAACTAATACATAATACATAAAATAATAAAACGAATAAATAATAATAATAATAAACGTATGAATTTTTCTCAGATTTGTTTAAACCTCATTTACCTTATTTTCCCAAAGACAAAAACATTCATACAATGTAAAAAGATATTATAAATTATTTAATTTAATTAATTATTTATTATTATAAAATTATTATAAAGACCATACTTAATTACAGGGTTATTATAGTTAACTAAAACAAAAATTAAAACTAAAACCATTAAAAAAAAACTTTTTAGTGCTTGAAATCAAATATTAACAGTATAATAAAATATAAAAATCTTAAACTTTATTTTTATTTTTATTTTTATCGGTTCTCATTTTTGTTTTAAATACCAAAATAACTAAAACTAAAACTGAAATAAAAATTAGTAAGAACTACATAGACATATTTAAAAAAAATAAAAATGTAGTGCTTGAAATCAAATAAAGATTAACAGTATAATAAAATATAAAAATCTTAAACTTGTTTTATTTTTATCGGTTCTCATTTTTGTTTTAAATACCAAAATAACTAAAACTAAAACTGAAATAAAAATGAGTAAGAACTACATAGACATTTTTTTTTTAATTAGAAAAGCACACAACAAAATTACTAAAACTTTAAAATGAAAACATAAAATATACAAATAAAAAAAAATATTACTAATACTGTAACCATACTAAAATAACCCTGCTTAATCAATATATTTTCTTTAGGCATGAGCCAAAACGTAATTTAGGTCGATATAATAATTGTTTGTGTTTTTATAAGTTAATTTATCCATAAACAAAAGCTAAATGAACTATAATCTGATAAAACGCAAATATTTTGTGTCAATGCTGAGTTTAGTTTAGACAACTTTAAAAGACCTTAATGTTTATTGTGATTGTAAAATACAGAGAAATGAATAAAACCCACAATAACTTCTGCAGTCGAGCCAAACTCGTTTTTCTGCGAATATTTTGTATGCAGAGTATTATTTGCTTTTAGACAAACTGAAGAAAACAGGTTTAACTGAAACCACTATTACACCAATATACAAATGCACTTTGTTTCACTTTTTTCAGTGCAAACTCTGAAGAAGACTGAAGTATAGCGCATACAATACTCCTTTAATGCATTAATGGGCTTCAGCTCAAGTCGTTTTTTAGGTTTAGTGAGTTTAAATGGAGAATGGTGAAGATGAACGCTGTGTTCTTTATAATAATGAATCATTCATGTGTTTGTGTGTCTGGATTGTGCAGTTCTCTCACATGATCAAGCTCTACCAGACTCTGGGTCCAGAGAAGTTCCCGCTCAACGAGCAAACCTTCTTCCCCAACCACACGCAGATGGTGAGTCTCTGTGTTACCTGTTCACTAACACTTCACCTGACAATGACAGTCTGCTCACCTTCAGCTCATCCGAGATGTAGATGAGTTTGTTTCTTCATCAGGTTTGGAGAAATGTAGCAGTGCATCACTTGCTCACTGCAAGTGAATGGGTGCCGTCAGAATGAGAGCTGATAAAAACAACACAATAATCCACAGCACTCCAGTCCATCAGTAAACGCTTCCTCCAGTGAAAAAGTCCACCTGTTGTCTCTCACATATTAGCTGTTTTGGCTTTCTTGATCTGTGCAGATTTCTCTCTGATTCAGACCAGAACACTTTTTCACTGGAGGAAGCCTTATTATGGATTATGGACTCTATGTATTTTAGTTAAAAGCATCTTAATGCTGGATTTGTTTCAGCTTTTGTCTTCTCCAGATGTTAACTGATGGACTGGAGTGCTGTGGATTATTGTGATGTTTGCAAAAATCTCCAAATCTGATGAAGAAACAAACTCAGATGATCTCTGGTGAGCTTTGAGTGATTTTTCCCAGAATAATAATGACAAGACAGTCACGGAGCCATTTTCACAACGTTTATTATAAAAATATAAAACAGAGAAATTAAAAATCGAATGGTCATCTGTCACACACACACACACACTCACACACACACACTCACTCTCTCACACACACACACTCACACACACACACTCACTCTCTCACACACACACACTCACACACACACACTCACTCTCTCACACACACACACTCACACACACACACTCACTCTCTCACACACACACACTCACACACACACACTCACTCTCTCACACACACACACTCACACACACACACTCACTCTCTCACACACACACACTCACACACACACACTCACTCTCTCACACACACACACTCACACACACACACTCACTCTCTCACACACACACACTCACACACACACACTCACTCTCTCACACACACACACACACTCTCTCTCACACACACACACTCACTCTCTCTCTCTCTCTCACACACACACACACACACACACACGTGACGGGTCTGATCTGAGCAGATGTTTGTGTTACAGACAGAATATTACCTTAATGATCTAAAAACATGCGTCGGAGACCGAGACTCTGAAACAGCAGACTCACACGCTCCTCATCTCAGCCTCCAGCGCAGAAATGGAGCAGAAATCAACAGGAGTTTAGTGTCAGAAATGATTAAACACACGTTTGTCACGTCCGATTCACATCCTCCCCATCGGTCAAACCTCGACTTTCCCATTAGAACACGCATTTCAGACGCATGCCATCAGTCTAGACGTAGAAAAGATGTGATCGATCTACCGTTTATAGTCTCTGCTTTAAATACTAATCACAATTTCATAGCTTACATAATAAACAGCAAGAAGGAAGGAATAATTTCTCTGCATCGAATCATAAATAGATACTGAACCGTATAAATCTGGCACACGCACATAAACAACAGATATGTTTAAAAAGCAGCACATCACTATAAAAGAGCAGGGTTTTATTGCGTTCATAAATGACTTCATATTTAATCTGGTTAATGCGGATGGCTCCGTGTGCTCAGGGTTCGATGGCGTTGATGCACCAGCGGTTTAAGACCCGGTTCTGAAGCGCTTCAGGGGTCGGTGGTGTTGATAATGAGCTTGTCGCGAGCGCTCATGCCTCGGTACCAGCTGCAGTAGCCCTCTTTCTGCTGGATGCAGGCGTAGTGACGCGACTGATAGCCGGGGAAGCCGAAGTGCGACAGCATATCCGTCCAAAGACACTCGTTCTTGGACGTGACGAAGCAGGGCAGATAGTGGCACGGCTTGATCTGCAAACACAGGACACATGAGCGTTTATTCTAGGGCTGGGTTTTGACACACATTTCACGATTCGATTCGATTCTCATTCACAAGCTTGCGATTCGATTCGATTCAATATAGATTATTTTGGATATATATCAGGTACAGCACATGCCAAATTTTCTCAAGGAAAAAAAATCTCTCAACCAATGCTGTAAAATATACACGAGTCAGTTGGTACTACATTACTATAACTTACTGTAAGTTTTTACAATAATAAAGTTACAGTTACATATTAATATTTCTACTTCAATTCGTTTTTTTGAAATATAAACATTTAAATGGTGGCTGTCATAAAAACTTGATGGATTTATTCAAACATAAATTAAACATTGAAGAACAGTAAAAAGTATAATGAATATATTATATGGTGCATATATTTAGCAAAATGCCCCTCTCAACAGTTTATTTTTCTATCTGACTAATGAGTTTATGGTCACCGAATATGTTTTTCTGAGGTAAATGTGACGTTACATGACACATTGTTTACAAGACGTTATATTGACGTCTTTGCGCGGCTGAAACACTGATTGAGTGATTACATGAGACAGGATACGGATTGTAAAGCTGTACTCTTTATTTTAACTTGCCTTCGGATGTTTAGTCATGTTTATTTTGTGCTGAAGCTGGTATTAATGTGGAGGAGATGATCAGTTCACGTGCGCCTCGCGCTGCTGCGTCTGTTGAACTGAGGCGCTACAGCGATCTGCCACTCCACATTAAACAGCGCCAAAACGGCATTTATTGTTTGAATACTGCAATACAATGGACAGAATTTGAAATCTGAGACTGAGGTGTTTGCGCGGCTGAAACACTGATTGAGCGATTACACGAGACAGGATCCGGATTGTAAAGTTGTACTCTTTCTTTTAACTTACCTTCGGATGTTTAGTCATGTTTATTTTGTGCTATAACTAGTAATAAAGCGGAGGAGATGATCAGTTCAGCGATCACTCCACATTAAACAGCGCCAAACGGCATTTATTGTTTAAATACTGAAATACAATGGACAGAATTTGAAATCTGAGACTTTGTTTCATATTAAAAGTACCAAAGCACAATGCTTATTGCGACTTACTGGATGAGAAGTGTCTTTCAATGTTCCGTCCATTAACTGAAAACAGGCCAGACTAATCGATTCTTGGGATTTAAGAATCGATATCGTTCCGTAACAATGAGAATCGATTAATATCGAGATATCGATATTTTTTTGTTTACTCCTCATGCAAATCAGCTCCTGAACCTGTTTCCAGGTGTTTGATGGATGCATGAAGTCTTTATGCAGACGCACTAGATGCAGGGTTTTCTTCTGAAATCGGATGTATTTATTGGTGGTGATTATTCATTGCTAAATTAACAGTTGCATGTGAGTCAGGCCCTATAAAATAGTCCCGTTTTTTTTTATGGTAAAAAAAATATTTTAGTAATCGAAACGCATGTCTAATTAATTTAAATTATGACACTTGCACAATTTATTAAAAGTTTATCAAAAATATATATAAATTTTTAGGGCCCTATGAAATCCATTTTATTTTTTCCCAAGTTCCATTTTATTAAATTTTTTCTGTTTACATTTTTCTTGACTTCATTTTAATGGTTAAATTAAATCTTAATAATTTTTTTTCCGTTTAAATTTTCCAAAATTTGATTTTAATGGTTAAATAAAATTTTAGTAAACGAAACGCATGTCTAATTCATTCAAATTTTGAAACTTGCACAATTTAACAACAATTTATTAAAAGTTTATCAAAAATATATCTTTTTTAGGCTCCTATGAAATCCATCTTATTTTTCCCCAAATTCTGTTTTCTGGAGTCCATTATTAATGGCTAAATTAAATGTATTTTAATAAACAAAAAGCATATCTAATTAATTGTAATTATGAAACACACAGTTTAACAACAATTTCTTAAACATTTGACAAAAATTTCATCTTAGGGCCCATTAAAAATAAAATTGAGTTTTTTATTTTATTTTTCCACAAATTCTGTTTTTTTGTTTTGTTTTTTGGGTTTTGGGTTTTTTTCCCCCCAAATAAAGTTTTTTCCATTTAAATTTTTCTGGATTCTGTTTCTTTTTCTATTTTAATTTTTTTATTCAGTTTTTTACTAATCCAAAAGCATTTCTAATTAATTGAAATTATGATACTTACGCAATTGAACAACAATACATTAACATTTTTTACAAAAATTTCATTTTTACCGCCCAATGAAATTTTGTACATTTTATTCCCCCCCCC